TAAAAAAACCCAAAATTTTTAAAAAAAACCGGAAAAAAAATTTTTTTTTTTTTTTTTTTTTTTTTTTTTGCTTTATGTTTCAATGTTATTTCCTCATTAATAACATACCTGGAATTTTGCCTTAATTATTTCATTCATGTTTGAGAAATCCTTTAATCTCCCATGGTAACCACTTAGCTGTGCAAAACACTTGAGTGGACGTAGTGACGCCTTCAAATACTAAGTGCTTCCTCTGGGTTGCAGTTTCAAGCTTCCACAGCTTCTGAAGCAGTCCTCTCCCACTTAGCTCCTTCAGACTAGCCAGTAGCAATTAGCAAACACCTGAAGGAACTGTGCATCAGCTGAGCTCATTATAGGAATTGCTTCTCATTGCAACTCTGGTAAAAATGTTAAAAAGTTAATAGTGGAGCCATGTTGTGATGAGTTTCTGAAGATGGAGTTTCAGAAAGACTGGGAGTTTCTTAAAGAGACAGAGGCCCAATTTCAAGGTGTTAAACTACAAACTCAAATTAATATATACAGAATTTTTATAACAACTGAAGGTAACAAAATACTGCCTCATTTAGGAGAAGTGTCTAGAATGTTCTAACACTTGCTAGAAAAAAAATCTAGAAGTTGTAGTGTTTAGCAGTATGGGACTTTAAAATGGAAGGTTTGTAGGAAACTTGTGAGGAAAAAAAGTAGTGAGAATTTGCATTGCCTTGTTTTAGGCCTGAGACACTCCCAAGCTCAACATTAACCCCTGGCAGTCCCTCGCACACGGCAGTCAGTCATCTGGCTCTGGACGACGGTCAACAACTTCCTGTAAGTCCTGTTGTTTCACCAATCTAGCAATCGCAGCTGTCAAATGCTAGTCACCACATTCCCACTAGGGTAGTGTCTATTGTACAGCGTAGCATTCTGTCCATCTCACTTTTTCCTTAGCAGGAATTCTAAGTTAATAGCCCCACTAAAGCATTCTGGTTTTGAGGAGATCTGCTTTTTGTGAATCTGGAACTTATGATGGACGAGTTTAAATGGGCAGAAGTATTAAATTCAAAACATACTAAACAGAAATATATACTTTGAGAGAGAGAGAGAGAACATACCCTCTTACTTATGCAGAAGGTTTGCATTTTAAACAGAAATGTATTTTTATACAGTACATTATTGGAGTATAAATTCTTCAAATTTACTATAACTCAGGACCTTTTTTAAGTGTAAAATATCCATGTTACACGTGTGAGGCTGTTAGCCCACATGATGAAGGACACACACCTCTCTGCACTCAGATCTGCAAATGGAAGCATTTACATTTTATTGCCTGCTTACTTTGACAGCTTGGTAATTTCAGTGGCCTAAGAAAATAACTGACCAATTGCTGATAATTGTTGAAAAATGGCAGCCATGTTGGGTGAGGGGTTAAAGGTTGGTAGTGACGGGCTGCTAGCCAGCTGTGTGCGGGTCAAGATAGATTAGGTCTAAGAAACAGTGGCAGCATTTGTCAGAAGGCAGGGGCTTTTTTAAAAGTCAGGTAAGACTTTTTCTCTTTTTTTTGGATGGTTCATTGTTTAAAAAGTTTTCTTATACTGTGCATTTACATAGCAGTTTGCTTTATTTTAGCATCTTTCTCTTGAACGCCCAGTTGTACTTCAACTAATCATAAATGTTGAGGACTGTGTTGTCCCGGCCAAAGCCGGTTAGCTGTGAATATAACCAATTCAATAATCAATGGAAAATCAAAATCAAAAGTCATTAAAATAATATTATATTTGCTGATCAGCTTTTTGCATGTTCCAATCTGATGGGCGTGTTAATAATTTGGGGTTTAACTGACGTAACGTATGGTGAGGTCCACGGCTGGAGAGGTGCTGATCCCCAAGAATCGGATGTACAATGCTACCAAATACAGAGGAAATCTAGGTAAGCTTCTAAATTTGAACACATTATTAAATTACTTTTTTCCAGATTCTCTCATTATTGTGGCATTTGGCAAATTTTAATAATTCTAATGGCCTAAAACAAGACGGTGGCCCTGATTAAGTGTCGTATTATTTGGTGGATATAAACTTCTGGATTCAACAGTACTCCATGAATGTTTAGCTCCATGTTAAGCATATGTTTCAACATGGCAGAATAAGAAGGAATGTAAAAGCCCAGCTCAGTGAAACACTAAACATCCTGACAGTCCAGGACACAGTGTGAAAGGAAAGGAAAATGTACTTCCATATGGCAGAAGAAAAAGAAATTGCACAAGACCCATAACTGGGCCTCGAAGAACCTCACAGGTGAGTGAGGGGGTCTGCAGACCATTCCTCTTATTGGACCAAGATAATATGATCAATAATAAGAGAATTACAACAACTTTGAGTGGATTAACGGATTCGTGATTAATCCAATTAAAGTTCTCAGAATTAGTAGGTAAATTTAAAAAAAAAAATCTTGTCTACTTCACAAGATGTGCCAATTTGTTTCCTCTTCTGACCGGAGACTCTAATCAGGATGACTCTAAAGACATTCTTAGATATTTCTGCAGTGTGTGGTTTGTTAAAAGCAATGTGGTCCGCTCAGTCGACGTCCAGACCGCTCCAAAATAAATCTGGTAAATTCAACATGTTGGATCGTCTTGGCCCGATATCTCAGAGTGTGGTGTTCCCCGAGGACAACAGAGAATGCAGCCTGTTGGATGTGACATGTAGCCAACTACATATAGTTCACAATTGTGTCAACTGAGTCGGCCGTGTTGGTTTAAGCTGAAGTCACATTTAGTCTCGAGAGGATTTGTGAGATTTCCCATCTGACATCTGAATTTTGGTCAATGAAATCGCTTCATACTACTAAACCTGTTGTATGACCAAAGCTGTGGTGCTGTGGATATTTTTAATTGCCGTCTGTGTGGTCTCCCAGGTTTTGAAAATTGGCCAACAATTTTAAAAATCTTGCCGTGTGAACCAAATGTTAGCAAGCTCTAAAAGTGCTGTTTCGTGGTAGTGACCTGATTTAAAACCTTGCTAGAAATTACTCATGTGCTACTGGTGATGTTTAAAGTTGATCAAAGACTACTTTCTCCAGTTGACAGCACGGTTGATTGTACTTATTGTCAGTCCAATTTTGGTTTGTTAATAGTACCTCATGTTCTGGTACCCATCCACGTCTTAGCTGGTACGACTTGTTCTGCACAAACAGTTGGATTGAACAGTTGGAAATTGTAAATATTAATGTGACAACCATCCTCGCTGGAAAAAAAAAAAAAAAAAAAAAAAAAGCTCTCACCCTTACTGTCTGCATTTTGGCAGCTACTGAAAACATGTGGTTAGGAGACCAGTCCAGCACTAAGCAACACTGTAATCAGTGTCTTCACCAATGCACAGGCAGTGACCAGTGTGAAGATAATTTTAATATCTCTTAAAATGTCCTCTATGGTTCAGAGAAGGCTGGAAGAAGCTTGTATACAGCAAAGTAGGAGGTCGTCCCGTCTTACGTCAGCATTTCGAGTGATTCCCACAGTGAAATGTAAGCCTCGACTATCATTTTTGTGGATCAGCTTTACATAAAAAAGCACAACGTGCAAATTCTATCTGTTGCCGTTTGAGTGTCAGTCAACGCTGACCGCGCAGTCTGTGAGGCAAGGCCCAGTGAGCTGCAGAGTGTAATCAGGGCTTTGATTTTCCTCTGCCGGCGGAGCGTAATCATAGGCTGCAGCACCACAGTGCGGTCACCTCTCCATCTCCTGCTGAAGGCCCTTTGACAGCTAAATGCTCAGGTCCATGTATTCCCATTAGGCTCTCTCTGATTGGCTGGCCTGGTGTGGTTAAGCTGCTTAATTCCACATCATGTCTGAGCGGTTGGCCTCGCTCCCCGCCGTGGACTCGGCATTAGAAACAAGCAAACATGACAACACGGCTTCAGAGGACGAGCTGTCACACTTTTCATGACAAAATGCCCAACTTTCATTACAGAACTAGACCTCTTATGTATTCTAAAGTTGACTGCTGTGCCTCTCAAAAGAGCAGAATTTGAAAACACTCTTCTTATTCCTACTAATGCTTGCTAGCTTCATGCTAAGCGCAAAACATTATTTGAACTAAGATTCAAATACATATAAGTAGTGATGCAGCCGGTCAAAATGCAGTGGAACACTGAATACCTCTCCAGTTAACTACATAGCTGCTATTAAAAAACACAGCAAATCAAAGGCGACACACATTTTACAGTTGTGACAGGAATAACCGTTTCATAAAATCCCCAACGTTTTTTCACATTTTGACCAAAATAATGTTTGTTTTTTTTCCATAAATGCTAAGGCATATTGCTTGTAAAAGGCATCTTTAGGTAAATCTAAAATGAACTGCTTTGTCTGATTCTGATTACTTTCCTGGCACCAAACTCTTCAGTATTTGATGATCGTTTTAATGCTGCAGTGAAAACAGGGAATTGCTTTTCCCCTTACATTTCCAAACTGATTTTTGCAGCTCCACAATGTTTTAGGAATTTTTAGTAGGGATTACTAATAAATCATACCCTCTCTTCATGTGGCAAGTGTAATTGAGCAAGTCACATGAACTTTGACGATATACTGCTATTAAATATTCAGACTTACTATGCTTCAACTGAGCCTGGGAATCCAAGGATTGGGGAGACAATTGGTCCAGGCGAAGCCGTCCCTTGGCACCAATTTCTCAGGCTGGGTGCCGTGGGGACTAGATAGCTCCCAGACATTTGGCCCTTGTGTCTTTAAGGCTTCCAGGTTTATGTCAGGATTTGGTTTGGGGAGCAGAAAGCACCACCACCTGAAAAAAAAAGTGTGGATTGTGTCGCTCAGGAAACAGAGAATAGAAGGAATAGATATCATGCCTGTTGGTCTCTAAATAGAGATTTAGACTCACTGGTTAGTCACAGCTTGACTCACCTGCTGACAGGGAAATCAGAAGTCAATTTGAACATGACTGCCTGTGTAACAGTTGTAGAATGAATCACGTCAAGGAACCAGGATTTGCATTGATTTATTCCTGTTTAAAACAAAAAACATGTTCAGCAGCAGCTCCTGGCTCTGGCTTTCCCACTCACACCTCTCCCCAGCGCGAACTCACAGGAATGGGTTAAAATCATCTAAAGTTCACAAATAATAAAATAAAATCTGCATTCATTCAAAACAACTAAAATAAAACCGAAACATAAATAATCTGCCCAAAGGTTACAATTTTACATAGTAATATAAAAATGTACAAAATACATACATTTAACAACCAGATAACATTTTGAAATATCTCTCATTCCTGTTTAAAACAAAAACATGTTCAGCAGCAGCTCCTGGCTCTGGCTTTCCCACACACACCTTTCCCCAGCGCAGCTTGGCGCGAACTCACAGGAATGGGTTAAAACCAACCAAAGTTCACAAATAATAATAAAATAAAATCTGCATTCATACAAAACAATTAAAATAAAACAGAAATAATCTGCCCAAAAGTTACAATTTTGCATTATAATATAAAAATATACAAAATACATACATTTAACAACCAGATA